TGGCCTGCAGGAGTCTGTTTCCTTCTGCGGTGGAAAAATCAGCGGCTTCGAATCAAACCTAGCCAAGTTTAACGATTGCGTAAAGAAGGTGGACCGTCTAGTAACGGAAAATGCACAAATGAAAACTAGTATAGAATCTTTGAATGCTAAAATGAATGACTTAGATCAGAAGGCTAGACTTAAAAATCTGGAAATTCTGGGTGTACCAGAAAAAAATAACGAAAATTTATTTGAAGTGGTTGGTCAGATATGTGAAAATCTGAACGTCAACCTGGATCAAAATGACATCGACTTTGTCAACAGAGTTCCGAGTAACCCGAGGTATTCTTCAAATAAAAAGTTTAAAAATATTATTGGGCGTTGCAGAACCCTAAAAGTCAGAGACAATATTATGAATGCTTTAAAACTAAAACGTACACAGAATGGAGACCAGTCTGATCTTTCTATTGAGGGTCTGTCTAATAATATTTATGTCAATGAACATCTTACCCTAGCTAATAAAATTATTCACAAGGAAACACGGGACATCGCTGGAAGAAAGGGTTATAAATTTGTGTGGATCAAAAATGGAAATATTTTTGTGCGCAAGAATGAAACATCTCCTATATTACATATAAAAAATTCGGAATCAGTGAAGAAATTGTAATTATGTAATTCATTAAATACTTCATTCATTGTTCACTGGCCAACATGTCACTCAATCTGAACTTTTATCTACAGAATTGTAGAGGACTTCGTACAAAAAACTGTTGATTTTTTTTTTCATAACGTCGTGTCAAGTACGTAAGGATGTGTTGTGTTTTACGGAAACTTGGTTGAATAGCTCAGTGTATTCTAGCGAACTTTTAATAATGATTATATTGTGTTTCGGCGTGACAGAGAAACAAGCATTTCGACTAAGAGTGACGGCGGAGGTGTAATGATAGCGGTCGTTAACTTGTGTCTAGCCCTAGCAAGCAACTGTTAAGCCCGACCAATCACGTTAGAGTTTTTGACAAACACAAATGAATTAACACACTTCAAATAACCACGCTAACCAACCTGATTGGTCAAGCTTAAAAGTTGACTGCTAGGGCTAGACACTTCTATAGCGGTTCGGTCTCAATTTCAAGTGTGTCAGCACTCTGATTTGCAGTCGGATGCTGAAGACTTGTGGATATCTATTGGAATTAGTACACAAGAAAGAATATATGTATGTATCGTTTACTTACCACCAAATGATATTGTGGCTTATCACTCGTTTCTAAATAAATTACAAGTAAATGAACATTTAATAAATAAACACTGTTGTTTATTTTTGGGCGACTTTAATTTCTCATCTATTAGTTGGCAAAGAATTTATAACGACATTTTTACGAGCCACGAAATGTGGAAAACAAATTTTCTGAAATAATAGACACTATAACGGCTTTAAATCTTATGCAATTTAACAATATTTATAATGAGAATAACAGAATGTTAGATTTAGTATTTTGTAATGAAAAATGTATTGATCTGATTGAGCATTCCAATAATGCACTTGTTGATGAAGGCGCCCACCATCCTGCTTTGGAAATAACATTAAAAAAGAATATTATTAAAAAACTTGGTTACAGACAAAAGGTATTTTATAATTTTGGCAAGGCTAATTTAGATAATATAAACAAAGAAATTTTAGAGACGGATTGGCCAGGTGTCTTCAAAAACAATAGTGTTGATAGTGCAGTTGACATTTTCTACAGCATAATTAATAATGTTATTGATAAAAATGTACCTAAATATAAAAATAATAATAGATTTCCGGTGTATTTTAGAAAAGAAACGATTCAAATAATTTTAGAAAAAAATAAAGCTCACAAAAAGTTTAAAATATATAAAAACCAAAATTTACATAAAACCCACTAAAATTGGTATTGCTATTTGAGTATTGTAGTGGATTGTAATCTGTGTATGCTCCTGTATTGGTAAATAAATAAATAAATAAACATGCTTTAAACCTTGAAGATGTAAAAATTAAACTCAGCAAAACCATTAGTTACTTAGGATTCTGGCTTGATACCAAAAATGAAATTTGGCGAGCACATTGATAAAACGGTAACCAAAGCATGGAAAATATTAGCATGCGTTCTATTAGCGGTACTGTCTCGTCTACTTCCAAATTCCGCTAGGCTTCCATTATTCCTAGTGGGAGTAATTCACTCCCAACTTCTGTATCCTGCACCTATATGGTACAAGACAATGGAAAATTATAAATATAGACAGAAAATAAACAGTATACAGCCTACAGCGGCTATAGTATATGAAGATATACTATAGAGTGCTATAGAGTCAGTAGTGGCCTACAGAACAATTTCTGCAGAGGCTGTTCGTATTATAACTGGCATACCCCCAATGCATCTCTAGGTTCAAGAACTAGTTGAAAACTACCAATGAACTTTGAAAACTGAATCTAGAAATAAACTATGCATAAAATGGCAAGAAGAATGGATCAAGGGCAAGTATGGAAGGTGGACGTACAGTTTAATTCCTAATATTAGAGAATGGGTAGAGAGACCATATGGTCAAATAAATTATTATACCACCCAGACCCTGTCCGACCATGCTGGGTGTTTCAAAAATTATCTATTCAATCGGACGAAATCACCAACAAACCACTGTATATACTGTAACGAGATAGATGATGCTCAACATATCTTGTTCGAATGTCCAATATAGTCTGGGTTAAGACATCAGTACTATATAGCTATGAGCATTTCTTTTACAGCAAAAAATATGATAGATAGCCTGAAAGGAGGAACAAAACTGGACTGTTGCTTATAGAGTAATAAAAAGAATTATAAAAACGAATGAGGAAGAAGCACGTAGAAATACGTAGACAGTCCTCACGTCGAAGAAATGCGAAAGCGGTACCGTAGTGATGTATCGTAGAGAAAGGAAGGTGGTTTTCGTCAGTAGAAATCTGACACTACGTCTTATGCAAGATTTCCATCTCCTCTAAAAAAAGTCTTTAGATGTCGTCTGTGGAAATATTCCTCGACCTCTTGAACAGACTTCTAGACAGTATCTAACAGATACTGTCTGATTACTAATCTAACAGATTCGTAAAATATTAATATCACTATCAAAAATTCACTACACAAATTTTAAAGTTTCTTACAAAAATCTTTGCTTTCAACTGACTAGACTTGAAAAAAAGATATGTATTTTTTAACTAATTGATCTAATTGAGTATAATTGAATCATCTGGACGCCACAGTCCGAAACGCAGACCTATTGAGATGTTTTAATGGAAACCATGTTAGGTATGTGCTAGTCAAACTTACTAAACAGTTATTGTTTAGAAAAACATAGAGTTGGATTTTAGTAAACATAGATTTATTTGAAATTTAACATTAAGTAAATATAATCTGTACAGCGAGAGGAAGAGAGAGAAAAAATGTGCGGCACTGGCAGTTATCTGTCGTTTTAATTGAAAAATTCTCTTATTTTTTCTTATTACTGGTAATAAATATCATGGGTTTGGCACAGTTCAAACAAAATATTATTATTTAAACTGTGGTTTTGGCTTCTACTGTAAATATTATGAATAATATATTTGTACTAAAAATTCTTGGGATAAATAGTGAAATTCATTAAATAAGAGAACTTCCAATTTTTCAAGTTTGAATATCGGAGAACTAGGACTACGACTCTATTATCTGGCCAAAGCCAGAGGAAACAATACGTGGCACGTCTCAAAAGTGGATCATCCCTATAACTTTTTTTAATTTTTAAGATAAAAAAACGCGATTTGGTATGTTCACATAAATTAGGATTGATTGACGCGTTCAATTGTTTTTGGTCACTTCCTGTTTGGTTGACAGATGACTACAACTTTTGATTTTTAACTGGCACTCTCGATATTTTTTTACTTTATTCGATAGAAAATGACACTATGAATAGAATGCCGTATTATATGCCAACTTTTGACATTTGCGCTTAAAAAAAAATTGAATTGTAAATTTCAATCTAGAGTGCCACGGCTGTGTTAAAAACACTAATTTTTAATCAAGGAGCCTTGGAAAAATAGATTTGATTGTCTAATGTTTTTAGTGTCTTGTCTTTACCATTACAAGATGCCCAAATCGCATTTTTAATCAGGGGATGGCTCATTAGCATATTTGGAAAAATTATTTTCTACGAATAATTTGGTACCACACACTTGGTATTTCGGCCAAATTATTGTTATGAACCGCATGTTAGAATTTCAAATATGCGAAAATGTCAAAAGTTGACATATGATGTTTTATTCTATTCAGAGTGTCATTTTCTATCGAATAAAACTTTGAATAAGGAATAAAATAAAAAAATACCGAGGGTGCTATTTAAAAATCAAAAGTTGTAGTCACTTCCGGTGAAACAGGTAGTAACCGAAAACAATTGAATATGTCAATCGATCCTAATTTATGTCATATACCAACACACCAAATCTCGTTTTTTTATTTAAAAAAAATAAAAAAGTAATGGGGGTGAGCTACTTTTGAGATGTCACCCGGTATAATATAAATCAGCAAACAAAATACCTGTGTATAAAATACTATATGTATACATATAACTTTAAAATTTGAATTTTATTTCTGGTTTATTTTTGTTTTGTGACAATTGCTTGACTACTCTTTTGACTCGTTATATGCCTATAATTTGTTATTTTTTTTATATTCTTGATGACTTGATGATGTTAAATAAAAAAAAATACAGAAAACTATATTTTTTAATTATTTTTTTTTAATTAAATACATAATGAAAAGCACTGTACCTATTTATTTAAATTTTGTTTATTTTTTTTTAATATTATTAATTTATTTATCATCTCAGTTAGCAATAAAAATACCACAATGACGTAGCAAAATTCTAACTACAAAAATAAAAACTTATGCAAATATTACTAATCCAATTTATACATATGTATATCGAGATTCATAATAAATACCGTCTGTTTTCATATAAGAAGCAAATTGATAAATTATTACTATTTATTTCAGGATACACATATATTTTATAACAGCACCATATACAACAATCCTGACGTAGGAAAAACATTTTGGGTCGATTTGTCAAAGAGATCTGATGTTAAAGTCAATGAACTTCTGTCGAACTCTTACAGAAGAGCAGCAGTAAGTATGCAATTATTTAAGTCAAAACAGTTGAAATAAAAATGAGTAACATATTTGAGACAATAATCATAAGAATAGACTAAAATATTACATCTGACTTAGCGATGAGCAAAACTGTTACTTCTAAAAAAACAGTTAAAACTGTAAATAATTTAAAAAATAATTAATGTTAATTTTTAACAAGTTTTATGTCAATTTTTAGTAAATGACATCTAGAGAGTGACCACGCCAAAATTAATATCGATTATCATTGCCCAGCTGTTTTTGACGCCGCCGCCGTCTTTTTTTGATTATACGAGAAAATACTGTTAATAACAGACTTGCGATCTTCAAATGTTACTTTTATCTGTTAATTTTTAATTATTTACGGCTAACTACTATAAAAAAACAATTAAAATTAGAAATTCGGAAGAAAAAGTGTCATATTTTAGTAAGCTACCAAACTACTAACCGTAAAAAGAAGAAAAACAATAATTTTTTTCGTGACTTTTTCTGGCAAATTTGTTGAATATAATTTTTAAATAGTGAAGTTTTAATTGTTCAACTATTATTATTTTTTATAATAAAGTGGACAGAAAGACAGAATTGTACCTATACCGTATTCAATGGCCTTATTTCGACATTGCATCTATGAAAAAGAATACCCTAGTTTATACTGGGTATTTCCCAAAAATGGCTCACCCCTATAACTTTTTTTCATATAAATAAAACGAGATTTAGTACGTTAGTATGACATAAATCAGGATTGATTGACGTATTCGATTGTTTTCGGTCACTTCCTTATTTACCGGAAATGAATACAATGTTTGATGTTTAAATGACACACTCGGTATTTTTTTACTTCATATGATAGAAAATGACACTTTGAATAGAATGACATATCACATGTCAACTATTGCTATTTTCGCGTATCGTTTATTGGAAATTGTAACATACGGTCCATTACGACAATTTGATTCGAAATACCAAGTTTGTGGTACCAAATTATTCGTAAAAAATGATTTTTCCTCGGATTTTTTCAAATATGCTAATGAGTCACCTTCGTTCCACCTGAAAAAATTGAGATATGGTTAAAAATACGATTTGGGCATCTTTTAACCCGCTAGGAGAAGACACGAAAAAACATTAAGCTGCGTCCTCACTGAGTCGACACTGTCGATCGACCATGTCTATCGACATTGTTTATCAACAAGTCGACAAAACTGCATCTGTCCACACCAGATTGACAGAAATGTTTGTCGATCTGTCGAAATCAACATGTCTGACTAAGATGACGCAATAGATGCGTGTGCCGCATATATTATTATTGCCACTAAAAAAAGAAAAATTTCACGCAAAAGAAGATTTTGGGTTCGACCAAGTTTTCAAAATAGAACCAGATATAACGCTCTAGTAATTTGATAGGAGATTTAAAGAAAGATGTCGTCAACATATTGAGTCTTGATAAATGCTATGACTTTATCTTGCTCCCATTCCATTTCTTCAACGAAAAAGCACGACTACGATGTCAACTAGCCAAGATGTCACTGTGTATAACAGTTTGTAGTTTGTCGAATGTCGAACGTCGAAAACAGGTCCACACACTAATGTCGATCGACTGTTCTTTGATGTTTACCGACGGACGATGGAAAACAAATCGACATGTCGATCGATTAATTCTGTCGATAGACACCGTCGATTGCCACGTACACACCAAGTCGACAGCGTCTATAGACAGGGTCGATCGACAATGTCGACTCAGTGAGGACGCAGGTTTAGAACCATCAAATATATTTTTCCAAGGCTCCTTGATTAAAAATTAGTGTTTATTGCACAGCCATAAGGCCCACCGCATATTGAGACGCTGGCAGCGCGAAGCAGGACAGGGCAGCGTAGAGCAGGTTTGGTTTGGTTTGGTTTGGTTGACAACACTGTAAATCATGTGTTGTAATTTAACACCGCGTATTGTAGCACAGCGCAGGGCAGGGCAGTTCTGTCTCGCACGCGGGCTGTGTCGCACTTGTGCATTTGACACAGAAAATGCGTGACAAAGTACTGCCTCGTGTTTGTTTTGAGTTTTAACCTTGCCGGTTTTTCGAAAATAATGGAATCGATGGAAGAAAAATTGGTTGAATTAGTGCGTAGACATTCAGTATTATATGATACCAGTCATTCTCACTACATGAAAACTAAATATAAACAAGCTATTGCCTAATTTCATAAATGTGCTATTCCCTAATTTCACTTTCCTTGACTTCTGATAAACTGATAATAATGTTTGGAACTCGGTATCCGAATCTGACTCGGAGCTTAAATCCAGATAATATTCTTCCAGCCATGTTTTTATTTAATTACTCCCCAAAAAACATACAAAAACTCCTTGCAGACGTAGCTGACATACAAAACAGCATCTCAATATGCGTGGAGCACTGTGCTACACATAAATTTTTCTTGATGTCCTGCCCTGCCCTGCCCTGCCCTGTGCGTGCGTGTCACGCAGCTCAATATGCACCTAGACTAACACTCCAGATTGAAATTTAAAATACGATTTGTTTAAGCAAAAGCAAAAGAAAATGCTAAAAGTTGACACATGATACGGCATTCTATTCAGAGTGTCATTTTCTATTTAAATATTAAAAATTAAAAGTTTTAGTCATTTCCGGTGAAACATGAAGTGACCGAAAACAATTGAATACGTAAATCAATCCTAATTTATGTTATATACTATCATACCATTAGGGGGAGTGTTATAAAAAACTACGATAATAAAATCGCAACCAAAGTTTCGAATAAACGAATAAATGAAAAATCACGGGAAGGTTAACTGTGAAAAGAATCACCTCATGCTCGATATACAATATGATCGAAAAAAACGTCAGCGATAGCTATGAAATGAAGATCGCTGTCATTTTATATGTAAAATTATATGGGAAATGTCATCGATGTTCATTTCCAACCCAACGCAGGTTTTTCATTCCTACAGTATTATTCCTTACAAGGTATTATTTTTTATATTATTTGTGAAGTTCAAAATTGTTTAATGTTTTTAATATTTGAAAGAAAAATAGCATGTTCTATTCGGAGTGAAAATGTACTTTATGCGCATCGTAACGTCGTCAAACGTACATCCTCGACACAAAAAGTATATTTTTTACTTCTAATAAAGCAATATACCACAGAACAGAATCTGTTCTGTGAATATAATATGAATTCTGGAATTGAAACATTTTAACGTTACTATTTTTTTAGACTATAAAACTGTCATTTGATTTTCCATTCTACGGACATTATATTAAAAATGTTACTGTGGCCACTGGAGGATTTTTATATACAGGAAATTACGTACATTCTTGGTTAGCAGCTACACAGTATATCGCCCCATTAATGGCTAATTTCGATACGTCGCTATCAAATGATAGCTATATAAAATTTGTTGATAATGGTAAGTACCTATCACTCTCTGTAATGAATATTCAGCTTATTTAATTTTAATGAAGGATACAAAGAATATACAGAGTAGTCCGTACTGTAGTAAAAAGTGCATATAAATGTATGCTTCCTAAAATGCTTAGTTTCGGATATACAAGGTGTCGAAGTTTCATTTTTATTTCGATTTTTTCCAAATAATTTTTGAAGGAATGTCAATATTTTTATGAAGATTGGTGTCTGTTAGTTTTTTGACCTGTGAAATTTTATTTTGATGTTAGTGTGACTCCTACTTGTAGGGGGCACCACCTACATATTTTTTAACTGCTATAAAGAATAATAACTTTTCGTCCATACCTGTATAAAACTGCTAAGTAAAAAAATATACATTTACGACGTTTTTTAGGTAAAAAATTAATAGTTATCGAGATATTTGGAATCTAAATTATCAGTACCTGTCATTATTGACATAAATTAAACATGCTGACTAAATAGTTATTAGACTGAAATCATAAATTTGAAATGTTTTTGTGTCAAAAGTTCAACGGAAACTATTTTATTGTCATTTTTTCAAAGAAAAATTTATGATTAATTTAAAGAAATAAAAAGTTCCCAAATGTATCATTTTAGTCAAATAACTGTCTATTAGAGCAAGAGACATTTTGTATGTAAAAAATCACGGTAATGTGTATTTTTTCCGTAATTTTTTCACTCAGTAGTTTTATACGGGTACGGACGAAAAGTTATTACTCTTCAAAAGAATTAAAACGCATGTAGGTGACGCCCCCTATAAATAGGAGTCATATTGACATCAAAATCAAATATCTCATGTCAAAAAACTCTCAGACACCAATTTTCATAAAAATATTGACGTTACTTCAGAGATTATTTGGAAAAAATCTCGAAATAAAAATGAAAGTTCTACACACTGTATCTCCGAAACTAAGCATTTTAGGTCATACATTTATATGATAACTTTTTGTCTTATTTTTATCTGCAGAATATACTGCTGAAGTTTCCGGAATACAGTTTGGACCACCCTGTATATTGAATATTAAGAACACCAGATACGTTATCGATTTTTTAATATGCTTTTTTGTGTATATGCAAATTGAAACTAATTGAAAAAGGTGACTAACCTTTCATGGCATATCTTTAAAACGATAACATATAAAGTTAAGCACAAATAATGTGGTGTTACTTGAAAAAAATGATGACATATTTTTAATATAAAAAAGTAAAAACCTAAAAACTACAGAGTTGTTAGTGACAATAGTAATATTTGGTCAAATCTTATCATTATACCGGGTGCGTCTCAAAAGTGGCTCACCCCCTATAACTTGTTTATTTTTTCAGATAAAAATCGAGATTTGGTATGTTAGTATATGACATAAATTAGGATTGATTGGTGTATTCAATTGTCTTTGGTCACTTCCTGTTTCACCGGAAATGACTACAACTTTTGATTTTTAAATGATACCCTCGGTATTTTTTTACTTTGTTCGATAGAAAATGACATTCTGAATAGAGTGACATATCATATGGCAACTTTTGACATTCTCGCTTAATAAAAAATAACATTTACCATGGCTATGTTAAAAACACAATTCTTCATCAAGGAGCCTTGGAAAAATAGATTTGATGGTCTTATGTTTTTAGTGTCTTGTCCTGGTCAGTTAGAAAATGCTCAAATCATTTTTTTAAACATATCTCAATTTTTTCAAATGGAACGAGGGTGGCTCATTAGCATATTTGAAAAAAGCATTTTTTTACGAATAATTTGATACCACACACTTGGTATTTCGAGTCAAATTTTCGTCACGAACCGCATTTTATAATTTCAAATAAACCATATATGCGAAAATATCAAAAGTTGACATATGATATGTCATTCTATTCAGAGTGACATTTTCTATGGAATAAAGTAAAAAAATACCGGGGGTGTCATTTAAAAATCAAAAGTTGTAGCCATTTCCGGTGAAACCGGAAGTGACCGAAAACAATTGAATGCGTCAATCAATCCTAATTTATGTCATAGATACCGAATATACCGAATCTCGTTTTTTTAACTAAAAAAATAAAAAAGTTATAGGGGTGAACCATTTTTGAGACTCACCCGGTATATGGTTGCCAACCAGGCTACCCTCCTGTATTCCAGAAGACAGTCCTCTTTTTGATCGTACTGTTCTCTTTTCTCTAGTGATGGGATAACTCGAGCGAAAATTCGCTCGAGTACTCGATTGTTGAAATAACCGACATCGCTCGATTATGAACGAGCGATGCATGTGACGAATACAAAGCGACGAACGCAAGCGATCCTAGAATGAAATAAATTGAAATCCGATTTTAATGTGACATACTCGATAAAAAGCCGAGCGAATTTTCTACATACATATTGCAAGTAACAAATTTATACGATGCCGTATATAATAATAATGGCTTTATTTAATAAATAAATAGGCGAAGTCTGGCTAAAAAAGCCACTCACATGTACCGGATGCGTCTCAAAAGTGGCTCACCCCTATAACTTTTTTATTTTATTAGATAAAAAAATGATATTTGGTATGTTAGTATATGACATAAATTAGGATTGATTGACGTATTCAATTGTTTTCTGTCACTTCCTGTTTCACCGGAAATGACTACAATTTTTGATTTTTAAATGGCACCCTCGGTATTTTTTTACTTTATTCGCTGGAAAATGACATGCTAAATAGAATGACGTATCATATGTCAACTTTTGATCTATTCGCTCAAAAACGAATTGTATTTTAAATCTGAAGCTAGAGTGCCATGTCTGTGTTAAAAACACTAATTTTTAATCAAGAAGCCTTGGAAAAATAGATTTAATCGTCTAATGTTTTTAGTGTGTTGTCCTGGCCGGTTAAAAGATTCCCAAATCGTATTTTTGATCATATCTCATTTTTTTTCAAATGGAACGAGGATGGCCCATTAGCATATTTCGAAAAAGATTTTTTTACGAATAATTTGATACCACACACTTGGTACTTCGAGTCAAATTGTCGTTACGAACCGCATGTTACAATTTCAAATAAACCATATGCGAAAATATCAAAAGTTGACATGTGATATGTCATTCTATTCAGAGTGTCATTTTCTACCGAATAAAGTAAAAAAATACAGAGGATGCCTTTTAAAAATCAAAAGTTGTAGCCATTTCCGGTGAAACCGGAAGTGACCGAAAACAATTGAATATGTCAATCAATCCTAATTTATGTCATATACTAACATACCAAATCTCGTTGTTTCATCTGAAAAAATAAAAAAGTTATAGAGTTGCGTATCTGAGAGACAAAATTTTACGACCTACATCGACAATGCTTCGAAATAAACTAAATCAAGCGAATCGATCGCTGCTTACTACTTGCCGTTCATTACCGAAAGAATATGTGCCCTGCGCACGCAACTTACTGCTTGGCGCTTGGCGTTAACGAGTACTTACAACATGCGACGGGTGAAAACCGTATTTTTAAATACGAGTGATATATCGCTCGAGTGATCACTCGGTTATTGCAATCGCTTGATACTTTGATACTCGAGTACTCGATTATTGAAATTAATCGGTTTTTCCCATCACTACTTTTCTCTTACGTATTGAAGCAGTCCTCATTTTTACACACCATACTGAAAATTTAAAAAATAATCGTTTATCGCCACACCGCTTAATAAAGTTTTTAATCTGGAAACAATGTGGCTTTCGCCCTTCATTACTCACATTTATTTGTACCCACAGAAAAGAAATATTTACGTACAATAAATATTTGCGGATTTTTTATATTTACTTAATGTTAAACTAAACATTAAGGGCCATTACTACCATTTTCCCGTTCAAAATGTATGTTTTCCCGTTATAAATATATAAGGTTGCGATGAGTTTTTGCAACCGTTATTAAGCTTCTTGTACACTTCGCTCTAAAAGAGGTTCTAAAAAGAACGATGTTTCGACTGGAAGGTCTGCTAGTAAAGATTTTTAGGCTTTAAGTATCACAACATATTTCATTTAAACCACAGATAACATTTCATTTAAACCACAAAAAACAAACAAATGGTATCTACCACATTTAAACCAAAAACTCGTAATACAAAAGTAAAGCGTCAAAATGAATGACAATGCCAGGAAATAAATAAGTAAATGTAGCAACTTGACACTTTTTACAGCAGAGCTACCACCTGAATCCCCAGCGGGAAATTTAAATTTCAGTTAGCCAGCCCGGCGCCGAATATGTTCATGGTTGGCAACAATGAATTTAAAATTCGCGTCCTGGATTACGTATCGCTTATAGTTGTTCATTTAAAACAAATACCTGTAAGAGTCCTTGTCATAGCTTGCCAAATTTTAAGCAGAAATGTAACACCACATTTACATGTGCAAAAACTAGTCCAGGGCTATGATCGTTTTTACACAACAATATTTAGAAACACCTCATTTAACAAAAACGCGACCAGTATGGACTCTGATTTTAGGTTTTTGTTTTGGGAACGTTTGTAATATTTTGGACCATGATTGTTTTTGCGCCGCATATAGCATTTTATAATTATAACTGTCAGCTATAGACAATAACATTAGTTAGTTAATATACCTACTTATTTAGTTTTTTATCATTTTCTTATTAAATAATAGTTTCATTCAGAACCTCGCAATTAGTGAAATAAATTAGTGATTTTAATTAACGTACAAGTTTGTTAATTAATTTCAATGAATTGAAACCACTAATTGCGAGGTTCTCAATGAAGCTTATATATAAGAAGCATATGAAATAATTCCATATGTTGATTTAATCCTTAGTTAACATATTTTAGGAACATCATTTACAGTAGAATGGGAAAGAGTAATATTGCAAGATAAACGTAAAGATGGCGAATTTACTTTTCAAACGACATTACACAAAAATGGAGATATAGTGTTTGCTTATAAGAATGTCCCTTTATTAATTGAAGATATCAATGACGACTTTCATCCTGTCAAAGTTGGACTTTCTGACGCCTACATTTTAGATAGGACGATATTTTGTAAGTGGAGATGATTTAATTATAAGTTTCACTATTTCATTTACTTTTTTTTATTTTTCCAGTTGTAAGGAGAAAAACAATTTACGAATATCACAGAGTTGCGTTTACGAAAGAAGAAATTAAAAATTTGACTGCAATCTACTTAAAAGCTTTACCTACTTGTCTTGATTTTCACAATTGCTCATCGTGCGTGAATGCTGAACTAAGTCTTGAAGTAAGTAAATTACTTTGAATGTAGTAGACAATGTTTGAGTATTCATCCTAACAGAATTTCACTTCCATTAACTTTCGTTGCTTTTTCGTTTCGGTCAGATGTATCAATAATGTTGAAGAAAGAACGGTGTGTAAGATAAAAGTAAATATGGATAATGGAAGTCCGAAATTCTTTTAGTATCAAATGAATAGCCCCCCCATACACCAGAAGATTTGGCCTGCGGATTTGGTCTGCTTAGTGCCACGCCAAGCCTTTGGCGCACCAAGCCTGCCACAGGACAAACCCGCAGACTTGATCTGTCAGATTAGATTAGTCTAAAGAAAAACGAACGAGGGATAAAGTCAGCGGACTTGTAACGCTGTTTCTTTCTCAGGGGCAGTTTTCATTCCGATAAATTGTCTATATAAAAGCGGCTTATTGAAACGTCAAATTTCAAAGACTTAAGAAACGTCAAAATTTCAACAATCAAAGACTTAAGTCGCTAAGCCAGATTCAAAATACGAAAGTTTTGGTACGTGACAGGCCAAATCTGCAGGCCAAGTCCGCAGGCCAAATCTTCTTGTGTATGAGGGGCTAATTACTTTATTTGATCTTGCATATTATATATTATATACTCTTTTATTATTTTTTAGGGTCTAATAATTTAGGTACTAATCTGAATAATATAGCTAAAGGGTCATTGCATACTTTCGTATTAAAATAGTTTCTATATATATACTTCCTAGGTTGCTAGTACTTTCGGTCTAACTGGAAATGGTTACAAATTTACTTATTTTAGATAGAACGACATATATTTTTTTGTATTCTGCAATGTTGTGTAAAATGTTTTATACGTAAAGTTTAACCGTTTCTGAAGTATTATCAATTTTGACTAATAATAACATTTATTTACAACCACATATGTAATACTGACTTTTAAAAAATTTGAAAGTGTCAAATTGTCTACATTTCTTCATTAGATTGGAAAGTGCCCATAAGGACAATGTAAACACTATTTGGCGCTATTCTTGCAAAGGTCGCGACTCAAAGCTCTTGAAAATTTCGGAGCGGTTCGGCTTTTTCCGGAATTATATCGCCAAATATTGTTTATTCCTTTAGTTTATTCAAGTTTATTATTATTTTCTTTTAATTTTATAAATAAAATACAGTGTGTTGCATACAAGAAACTTTATTTTATATAAGGACATATATGAAATACTTATGAAATATTGGAAATTAACGTTATACCATGATTCACGATGGTTTTTGCAGTTCACAGTTCACAGCACAGCTTTTTAAGTTTTTAATGCCACTTTTTCACAATTATCACCGGTTGGAGTAAATAAAACTTGAATTAAACTCACAAGATAGCAATAATTAATTTGAATATGGACGCTATAAACACTTTTCGGAATTTCTTTAATGAGAGCGGTTTAGATTTTGAAAGATTTTATGATTTTTGAAGATTCTGACTTTGACAAGAGAAAATTATTTCTGTTTTTGTTTGCGGTTGTCTTAGCAACCGCTATAGCAGCGCCAGATCGCGTATAACGGTCGCGATCCAAAATAATTTCGCAACCTAAAATTTTCACGGGCTTTCCAATCTATGCATTTTTCCCTCTTCTATTTCCCTCACCCATTTCCCTCATCCATTCCCTCACTCGATTTTTCTCGCCTCATTTAATTAAGCAAAATATTCTTGTAATATCTTTATTAAATACTTATCTAACATTAACAAAAATAAACAAGAAGATTAACCATAATAATTGAAGATTTTAATCCCAGGCACACCTACTATAAGCGCAACCTAAAACAATGAAAAGAAATATTTAAAAACAGAAAAAGAAAACATTAAAAAAAGCCTTACTTTAATAAGTTTTTTTTAATAACTTTTCTTTGGCTTAAAACCTACATTCTGGCGTTTTTAAAAAAAAGTGACGAGTTTGTGATATTTTGATATGCCAGTCTTTTCCCTTAATTCTAGCATTGTCCGTATATCATGCTGTTCGTAGCCGAAAGAGTAGATGGTTTTTTCTGCCTTGCCATGTCGGTAAATATGCCATCAAGACTGTCTCCGAAGCAATATTCTTAGCATTTCTTTCGGCACACCATTTTTCGTATATGTATTTTCAATGCTATTTCATATCGCCCCTACTTTTCTCTGGAAGTAAATTGGCTTCTGCTCTTTTTGCAGCTTCTGTAAGTTCTGGTGGAGTACCAATATTAAAGTTGTCTTCATTATCAGAACTTTCCGACGACATTCTGGCTTTCTATGTTATATAAATTCGAAAAAGCGAACGAGAAATTCAAAACTGTCACTTAGTTGTTTGTTTTGCTTCTGGTTTTGCTGTTGAAGGTTTGCCCCATACCACTGGTGCCCATATTGGTACCGGTAACTAATTTTCGTATATTTATTTTTTTCAAAATAAAATACTGTTCCTATTTTTTAATTAATGATGTGGTTGTAAATAAAATAGTATACAAACCTCGGAGGAAAGTTTTCATTATTTTGTCTAAATAAAACTATACATTTTTCGGCATTAAGTCATTACTTTACAAATTTGTGTTGTCTATTTTTTAGGATAAGTTTTACTCAAATTAAATTTTTACAGTATGTTATTATTGAAATCTTATAAAAAAAAGTACTTAATAATTAAAAATAATTATTAGTACTATATTTTTATTTAATTAAATAAAAAATAATAACTGGGGATAAACAACAATAAAATAAACTACAAAAGACGATTACACATTGCACCTAAAACAAAATTGGAGGTTTCTTTTGAAACTTCTATTTTTGTTTCTTTTATTTTATAGTTTTCAAAATAAACTTTGCTTAAAGTTAGCAATACCAACTACCTTATATACAGGTATAACTCTAAAAGTATAACTTTTTGGGTCAAGTTTTAATTTGATATAAATTACAATAGTCATTTTAGTTCCATAGGCCTAAATACCAGGTAAATTCCAATTTAGGTAGCTTGTATTGAAATGTAAAAATAGTTCTTTGTTTTTAGAAACTGTAAAATATGTCAAAAAAACTTACATTTTAGTCATATCTTTAATAAAAGTCACCTTTATTTTTCTCCTAGAATCCGGACATTAATTAATATAAAGCATTCCATTACAAAAAAAAACAATTTGATATGTAAATCTTTCTGGGTACACCCTGTAGAACACACTATATTTTTAAAAAGTGCTCTGAATTAATACAGGGTGGCGCACCTCATTCGCCTTGGTTAATTATACGAAAACGGAAAGATGTAGAAACAAAACATTTTATGGGTATATGTGGGGAGACAATGTGCACAATTTAAATTTATTTTGAAATATACAGGGTGTTTCAGACCTAAGATCCATACCAAAGTTATATTTTTTCTTATGGAACATCCGGTATTTTATTTCATTTTTGGATTCTTGTGCTCAAAAAAGGTATTTATTATAAGGGTTAAATATGTTTAAAATCTTTAGTTTTTGAGATATTTAAAGGTATTTAAATTTGCATGCTACAATAGAATAGACTATTAACACCCTGTACATTACTTTTCAGAATTAATTCTTATGCTGAGTTTAAAGGTAGAGAAATAAACTTTACTGAAAAATGGTATTGGTTTCTTAAATTTATCCAGGGCTATCAAAAGTTGCTGATCTATTTTAAGGATATATTTTATATGAAAACTTCGTTATTTCAAATGCAACTTCCTGTATGTTTTTGGTTTGGTTGTCTTCCGGTATGTTTTTTAATAAATCGAAGCAGATTCAAATGCTCTTTCAAACTATATTAGGGTTTCCTATACCTATCTAGCTCAGATTTTGAATAAAAAGCGATTTTTAAATAAAATTGCAATCAAGATGGCTGGTGTCGCCATGGCAATTTTCTAGGGACAGTTAGTAACTATTTTCAAAGTCGACATTAGTTTATAGACATTATTATTTATAATTTATAACAGTTTACCTAAATTTATCTACAATAATTTAATAAGTAAGTATTCGTTATTTTATTAAGAAAAATAAAAGTGTATCTGTTGGCGGAACGAATAGATATGTTATTAGTGATATTATTTTGTGAGGAAAATTGCTTCTTGGCCTCAAGGGCTTATGCTCAAAGATATCCAAATAGGAATCTTCTCGATAAGCGTTTCTTTGAAAAACTACTTGTCCTATTTCGCAGAGCTGGTAGTGTGGTTTATAAGAAACCTATTAAGCAGAAACCTTTCGTTGGAAGCGAATAAAATGAATTTGCCGTAATTGGCTATTTTATAGAAAATCCATATATCTACAAGTCATCGTAAAATAATTCAAAGAACTACTTCTTCGTTTTTCTTGGTAGAATAATATACACATATTTAATAAATATTATTTATTAAACTATTGTAGGTAAATTAAATAAAAGTAAACTGATATAAATTTAAATAAGTCCATAAACTAATTTCGATTTTGAAAATAGCTACTAGAATGCAGAGAATGCAGAATGTTTAGGAGGGGAGTGGACCGCGACCTTATAGATCTATTGTGTGTTCCCCTTTCTTGAGTTATAACGAGTTATAACTCATCATACAGTCTCAGGGCTTTAAGAAAAGCCAGTATCTGAGACGGCTCCACAGAGGCCAGCTCTCCATCCTCGACATCAGACGTACCAAGGTTCATGGCACGAATGGTCGTCGTCTCGGCACTTACTCAGTGATAAGGTGTTCTGGTGTTTCCCATTTTCCCCACAAAATCTGCATTCGCCGTTGTTTCTCAGTTTCAGCCTACTGAGGTGTTCGTTGAGGAGACAGTATCCTGTTAGAAACCCCGTGACAATCCGAAGATTGTTTTTACTTAAATCAAGGAAAACCTTTGATTTTTCTCGGTCATAAGTTCTAAGGAACTTTTTCGAGTGTTTTAGACCGTTGGAGGACACCCATTCCAAGTTACGGATGGAGTCTTCCAGATTCTTCAGTTCCGCTTTCAGTTGGTTCCCGTTTGGAAAACAGAACGGTTCTGGTCCAGTTAGTGGAGTGTTCGCTCCTTTTCTAGCT